AGAAACTCACAAATATATATATATATCATTAACTTCTATTTATGCTTTTAATTTCCCATTGAGCGATCTGGCAACTTAGTTACAAAAATATTTGAAAATAAATTTCTTTGCAAGAGGTCAGTAAATAAATGGACGTCTGTTCTCGCTCCTAGTTTAATTTCGTCGCAATACTGTTAGCAGATATAGCATAGCTAAACCTCCAATTACTTTTATGTATTTGCATAAATCCTGTCAGTTATTTTTTATTGATTACTTAATTGTTATTATTTATCTATACTGTTGTGAATGTTCTGAAAATAATACTTTTTAAGATCTGCATTAGAGGATGTAGGCTATGTATACATTTCATACGCTGCATTATATTTTCTTTAATGTTTATTTATTAAATGAACAAACAAACAAATTGAACATTATCACTTTATTACACTATACATACAGGGTAGACTATACTTGAGGGTGCCTCCGCCAAGTTGTGATCGCGATTGATCGCCAAGCTGGGCGATGTTGAAAACCAATCGAGATTCTGATTGGTTTAGATTTTAATCGTGATTCTGATTAGGTTAGAATTTAGCATTGTTTTTAAATGAATTTTTAAATGCAATTTCTGAGATCCGTTAGCTCTACTTTGAATACCGGCTGGTAAGGTTATTTCTGCTTCTGGTACTAAAAATTAATACTGCCAATAAGATAAATATTAAGTTTCTGTACGATTTTAATAATAAAGCAAAAAAACAGTGATTGACTGGTGTATGAATGAAGGTTTAATTAGTAATAGATATAAATGTCCTGTTTGTGGGTTACCACGGTGTTCCGGGCAAACAAGTATGGCGCCACACATAAGTCGCCAATTTCACCAAGGGGCACCCTCAAGTATATTTTTCCCCACTATACAACATGATATAGGGTTTCACTATGAAGAAATGACTATTTTAATTAAAAACGGTTGAGCAAATGAACATTGTGAATTGTATTAAAAGTTGGATCTTGTATAATCATTAGCGATCAGCCCGGTTTTCTGACATATCTGTGGTGTTCATTGTAGTGGTGATTGTGCTCAATAATACATTCGACCACTTCTTTATCACATTTGCAAACACTATAACCACATTTAGAATCTTCTTCTGAAATATAAAAAATGAACAATTATCAGATTTGCAATTACCAAAACTACATTTAGACTTTTCCTCTTAAAATTAAAAAAAAAATTTTAATCATCAAATCTACAAACTCTAAAATCACATTTAGACTCTTTATTTAAAAATAAAATTTAATTATTTTCACTTTGCAGTAGGATACCTGCAAGTGACGTATTGTGTTTATCTTGATCCTGATTTGCTGTTCAAACGTAGCTTTTGTTTACATTAGCAACTGTTCCTTCCATTTTGTTTCGAGTAAGCCAAGTTTGTCATAATTGAAAATATGAATAAATTAACGATCATCTGATTTGCAGAAACATAATTGAAATATGAATAAATCAACGATCGTCTGAATTGTCGAAATATAATAAATCGAAAATAGGAATAAATTAATAATCATCTGATTTGCAGAAGTGTTATGAATCAAAAACGCATATGAATCAACAATAGCCTGAATTGCAGAAGCATAATTTATCGGAAAAGTGTTCAATTTGCGAACTCCGATATTATAACAGAACAATAGCTTTGCGCCTCATAAAACACAAGATGTTTCTAAAAAAATAATTTAAAAGGAAAAACGATATTTTAAAGAAAAATAATCTTTAGATAATTATTCATGAAAGCTATCTTGAATTGTATGATAACATAGAATAAGTAGGAAATGTAAAGAAGGTCAAGTATAATGAAATGTTTTGCATGTCCAGACTGAATGCAAAACTGCCATTCCTTGCAAGGTCATCACACAACCTTGTAATGACTTTTCTCTTAATATTAAGGTTACGTCTAGTGTTGACGTTTACTCATGTTCAGAAATTACTCACCTTTGGATAAACTTATTCTCATTTGTAGAGTGCGCGAAAAAAAAAAACTGTGACCTGGAATAACTTTTGTTTTAATGAACGGATCTTCGCTTTCTTCTTCGCTTAACGGCTCGAAGGGATGAATTTTAAATATCTGACTTCTTCGAAAGTTAATTTCTCAGAAACTATTCAACCGATTTTTCTCAAATTTTGTATTTTGCCAATTAAAATTATATTCTTTAAAATGATACAAAAAATTGCATACCTTACAATTAAATTTTTTTTAAAATCATTATTAAATAAAATAATAAATATTTAATAAAATTTGTTTTTGCATGGAATTATCTTTGGAAAAACGAATTTTATAATTGCGTGCAAAATGTTTTCAATTTGCTCAAGTTTTTAAAGTTGAAGCAAAATACACAAAAAGCAAAATTAACATTAAGGGGTCAAAACTTTGGACCGCTCTCTTGACCATACTATTTGAACCATATTTCCCAGACCCCTTACATTTTGAGGATCAGAAATCCAAATCAGTCGAAAAAAAGGTATGTTTATTCAGAAAAAAATACGTTTTTTTTCTGATTTCGTAACTTAAAATATCGTTTGCACTAATTAAGTAGCATATTTGTGGTCACCCCCATTAAGATTGAGTAATAGACAGTAAAGATCCTGTCATTAGAACAAAAGTTATTCAGGGTGTTCCGTTTTATTTCACTCAGTGACTGTACATTAGACAGTTTTATTTTTACCCATTAATGCCCTGCCACAAAAAATGATCCACATATGAAAAGTACCTATGTGAGAAAAGTGGCAAGACATATTTGTTCATATCAATTAGATATACTGCTTTTTGTTTTACTTAAAATAATAGTTTGTTTAGCGTTTGATAAAGGTTAAAATATACTTAAAGTCAGACATATTAAAATAACATAATGAAATGTAATTATGCAACTCATTAAAGTGTATGTGTGGAACTTAATCATTAAAGTTCCAATTTTAACGCATGAAGTATTTTTTCCCTTCAAAGATACTATAATAGTTTTGATTTAGTTTGACATAGGTTAAAAAAAAGCAACTTAAAACCTAAAAAAGTAAAATTGGTACCTAAATTTCAAAAAGCACATTTTAATAAATAAAATGAAAAAAAAATGTTCCAAGTTATGAATGAGTAACTTAGTAAGAAATCAGTATCCACGGGAGTCTCCATAATTTATAGTTTGAGGCGAAGAGAAACTCACAAATCCTATTAACCGACCAATCCCTAGTCGTATTTTTAGGGACGTCTTAAAATCTCACACAAACTTGATAAGTTTTATATTAATTAGTTTTAAGCATTTTTTACTTTTTTGCCAGTCGAAGTAAGTAGAAAGTCTTCAGTTTATAATGATTTATTTCAATGCTTCCTTTTTCTCAATTCTTTCCCCCGAAACAGTTCTTTCACATAATGTGATGAAGAAAAACGGTAAATTAATTTTAAAGAAATATTTGCTTAGTTTTATAATTGACAGTCTTGGGGCAGAAGTGATAAGCCACACTTTTCCTAACGATGAAATGTTTACATTAAACTGTTAATTAGTATAGTTTGCAGACAGACACGATACAATTATCCGGAAGTACAATTTTCCGGAACAATGTCCAAATAGAACAAATTTTCATGTAGAAATGTAAGTTTTTTTTTAAGTAATTTAATTTGGTTTTATGACGCCTAAAATTAATATACGAAATTTTATTAAAAATATTGGAGTTAGAAAATTAATGGCTAAAAGATGGATTTAAGATAATTAATAGAACCTAATAATATAATTGAAAATTAACGGGTTAAATATACTGTATTTAATTATTAGCTTTGAATTACTAGAAAAGTGGAAATAAAGGTAGTTCCGTAACCAGTACCATTAATATTTATTTCTAGAATAAAAAATATCTTAAGAAAATAGGTAAACATTTATCGTAAAATATTAGTTGGTATAAGAAACTGTTGATATATAATTTTACAACAATAAATTTGTTGTCGTTCAGTGTAAACAACCCTCCCCCCTCTCATTGAAAATAAATATTTACGTTCAGTAAAAGAACTTACTGCATTCGATTGTTCCGTTATTAACTCTCCAAACATACTCAACAACATGTGGGATATATTTTAAACAATGTTTCTCAGATGCACCATAGCAATCATCATGGACCTGGCAACACCTGCAAACATAAATTAACATAAATTAATTTTTTTTAAAAAAATGTGAGGTAAATAAATAAAATAAAATAAAGAATGAATCTATTTTAATAATTTTTGGTGAGTGGATGAGATCTTCCCACAGTTATAATTTTTACAGCCTATAAAACCTACTTAAAATGACATTGAATCAATTAGAACTTTTTAACCTTAGCTAGTTAAACTTAAATTCATGCTACTCCTTATAGCTTATAAGACTATCTATTACTAATGCTTAATCAATTTTATCTTTTTAAGCCTAGATAGTTAAACTTAAATTAGTACAACTCTTATAGCTTACAAAACCTACTTTTGAATAATGTGGGATCAATTATAATTTTTTAGTTAAATTTGAATTAGTGCTACTACTCCTTATAGCTTAAAACACCTACTCAAAATAATTTTGAATCAATTATACATTTTTGTCCCGCAGTGAACTGATCGTAAAGACACGGTTCCTTGTTATAACTCAGTATCACAGGCTGCGGTCAGTAAGCGGGTGGGTGACCACTTTGATCAGCCTGCGTAGGGACCGAGGGTGCGTGGTATCGGTCCTCGTTAAACTATTCGACTGGGAAGTGTCAACTTCGTGCTCAGGTCGTCGGGTTACCTAAGTGTATGAGTCATCCCCTCTGCAGAGGATCGAAACTGTGATGGCATGTCTTCGGATCATCCTCATTGATGTTTCCCAGACCGTCGCCAAAAGCCCATTTTGAAGCGCTAGTGTGAGGCAAACAAAATACCTTCCAACCAATTATAAATTCTTAACTTTAGGTAGTTAAATTAGTGATTCTACTCCTTATAGCTTATAAGATCTGCGTAAAATAATGTTGAATCAATTATAACTTTTTAACCCTAGATTGCTAAACTTAAATTAGTAGTACTATATATATTATAGCCTATAAGAGACCTACCTAAAATAATGTTTAATCAATTATAACTTTTTCCCCTTAATAGTTAAATTAGTGCTGCTCTTTAGTTGATCATATTTCCTATATAGTAGTCAAATTAATTAGCGCACCTTAAGTTTCTTTTAAAGTATATGCACCTAATAAAATTTTGTGTTCGCAATTTTCGAAAATGCTCAGGTGTTAAAGTAACATCTTCTCAACAAATCTGGAGTTTATATGACAAATGTTTTGATCAATGATTAGCATAAATAAAAGATATTTCTTTTGAATTGACACACAATATAGCCCAAAAATAAACCGTTAATAGAGTGTAAAAATAGAATTTGAACAAATTTTATGCAAAGCACTCATCGGATGGTTGTGAGCACATTTTAAACCAATAAACATATGCATTTGCTAGTTAACACAGTTTCGTTTTTCCGAAAATGAAGCGGTTCATCAACGCACTGATCTTAAGACACGGTTCCCAGTAGATACCGAAGTCAAGCACTGTCAGTTGAGCAGCTGAGTGACTTCTTTGATCAGCCTACGAGGGAACCGTGGGTACGCTGTATCGATCTTCGTTAAACTGTTCTACCATAAAGTGCTCGACTTTGTGTGCAGTTGGTCAGGCAACCAAAGCCATCCCCTCTGCAGAGGATCAAAATTGGGATGGCACATTTTCGGATCATCCTCAGGGATGTTTGTCAGACTGTCTCCCACAGCACATTGGGCAGCGATTGTGCGACGTAAATAAAATATTACTACTACTACCAAAAAAGAAGCATTTTTTTTTTGTAATTTAAACTTAAAATTATATTTTCAATGCAAAGTTAGATTTTTAACATTAGATTATAATGCAATGTTTTTAACTTGCTTCAATTGAGAAACAGATTCATCGCCAACATAACACGGGATAATTCAAAATGAATATAGCGATTACAAACGACTCTAGAACTCTTTAATGAAGAATAATTTATCGATAAAATTTACACAGAATGCAGAAGGAACTTCAAAATTTTGATTCGTCACAGATTTTCCTTTGGTCACGCGACAACATCTAGGCGGTACTCCATTTCAACGTTTTCCACTTCATAAAGGCGGCCTTCCACTACTTTTCCCTTTGCCCAAACATCCCATTTCTTCAAACATCCTATGTTGTTCCCATTTGTGGGTTCTTGATTGTAACGCTGACGAAATCTTCTTTGCACTGTGATAACAGAATGACAATTGTTAAGTTTTAACACGCAGAATGCTTTTTGCACAGGTTTTCACTATTCCTTAAATCTTTGCTTTGATCTGCAACTCGAGCCTTAGGAAATTGTTAAAAAAAGTTCAGTTCTATTTTAACATTATTAGTGTTTCATTTCCTTAGTGTTTCATTTCCTTAGTGTTTTATGAGCCTTATTAGCTTTTTCATTTTCATTAATGAACTCGCGCATACGCAGGATTCCGTTTCACTGCGCTAGTTAATTTCCATCTACATAGGAGCCTTACATCTACATTCTGAGTTAATCTTATTGATGAATTATTTTTCATTAAATAGTTATAGCTGCTTGTAATCGCTATATTCATTTTGAATTACCCTGTATCATAAACATTAATAAGGTTTTCATTATTCCTTAAATCTAGTTTTGATCCACAAGTCAAAACCAAGGAAACTGTTAAAAACTTTAGCTCTATTGTCTTTTCTCGATGATAACCAGGAAAACATTTTTTCTTTAATTGTGGAGTCTATTTCAATGTCTAACAATAGCTGATAGACATCTCTTTTAAGAATAAATTACACTTACTCATCAATCAAATCAATGGCTTTTCCTTGTCCGCCATAACCACACCAGTTTCCGTATGGAGCATACTCGGATGGATCCAGACCGGCTACAAGCTCAAACATGTCGGCTAAGTCTAAGAGGTCACGGCGGAATCGGAGCTTACCTGAAATTGAAACCAAGGTCATTGAGCAGACTAATTTGTTTGTTTTTTTGATGGGAGCGAAAATACAAACAATGTAGAATTTTTTTCTTCTTTTTTTGTTCAGTAAAAATTTTAGATTTTAGCGTGAGCTTAAGATACTGATTTCATTTTATATTATTTTATAACCGTCATTGAACAGCCGACCTAATTTTTGGGTTTACGACTACTAATCTTCAACTCCGTAACCTTGAACCCAATCCAGAAGACAAGGAAACTCCTGGGCCAAGCATCGGGAGAAATTTGTCTTCGTGGAGGAATTTTTGATGGAACTAATCCGCATTTGAGTTACAGGGAAAGGAAAACAACAAAACCTCCCACGGTTAGCCGAATGGTAAGGGGACTCAAACCCTTGATCCGTCTACCACTCAGGATATTTCACGTCAGTACTGTGGTCGGCGCGAGGCGGATGTGGAATTCGTATTGATCAGCCATCGCTGGGAATCGAACCCGGTTCACCTCATTGGAATGCGAACTCTCTATCCCCTGAGCCACCATAGTTCACGATACTGATTTTGAAGAAGATTTAGAAGGATACTGTTTTTTATTTTATTTTTTTACTTGATTGGTTCATTAGAAAATTGAATGTATTGACCAGTTCAGCATAAATTATGGTATTGATTTAATTAATACACTGTAAAAAATTAAGTTCTAGGTTACTGGGATTCTATAAACTTTTTCTAGTACCAATACAGTTTCTTTTCAAGTGATCTATTAATATTTCAATTGCTTCGTACTAAAAAAGCTATCCATTGTTTAAAAGGTAGCTGCTGTACTAGAAAAGTATACCGAATCGCAATTTCCTTGAGATTTGTTTTTTTTTTTGTGTGTGTGTGTGTGTGTGTGTGTAAGTACTGCAATTTTAATTTGCGGTGTTAATTTAGTTTACTAGTTCATTTGTATGATATTTAAATAATCTAATTTTGCACCAAGTATTTTTTAAAGTATGAAATTTAGAAAATAGTTCGTCTTTGTTTTTATGTAGGATTATTGCAAAAATTTTATATATATAAAAAACTCTTTCCTTTCAACAAAAAAAATTATAATTTTTTAAACATCAAATCTACATTTATGCAGTTCCAAAGAAAATATAAGCTTAAACATTGTAGATAAAATTAAATATTCTGAGAAACACAAACAACCATGCTAAAAATTATGCATTTAAAAGTTGTGGTAATAAGAGAACACATTTTGTGTGTGTGTGTGTGTGTGTGTAAAAACATAATTTTGGAGATGGGAACAATAATTTTTGACAATGAAAGAATAATACATAGATATTTTTTGTATACATAGAAACATAATTTTGGAGGGAGGAACAATAATTTTTGACAATGAAGCTATCAGATTTCTGAGAGCAAAAAGTAGAGAATGATTACTGAATGCCGTCATTTGTCGAATCGTTTCCTCAAAAATTTATTTTTCCCTTCCTTTAAACTATTTTTCTCCCTTTTTAAAATAAAATAATACGTATAAAAATTATCCTACTCTAATAAATTTCATTAGGTTACAAATTCCTATACAGTAGTTAATTGTATTGAGCTAACTCAAAAATAATAAATCTCTTGGGTTACCAGTTACAGTGGTAAATTGCATTTAGTTACAAATTACTCTTGATTTTCATATTGGGTTACAAATCACTCTACCGTTATAAATTGTAAGTTCCATAAAACTTGAAAATTTTATTTACCTTATTTTTTACGGTAAATATGTTACCAAAGAAATTTTTGTACTTTAAGAATATATTATGCAGAACATAATAATATAGTATTTCGGGAAATTAAATTCACTATTTTCTTTAAAAACTTACAATATAAAAGTATTATTTCAACGAAAATCTGATGTTTAAAAATACTTCATAGCTTTTTTCGTAGAAGTTTCAAAAGAATCTCAATTAGTTTTATTATCATTTCGAATTCAAGAACTTTTATTCCTAAATTGATTGAGGAAAAAAAAAACTTTATTTTTAAGCTCGAGTCTTTTATTGATATTTTCTTCACGTGACATCACGTTAAATTACATCAGAATATATTCTACTATTTCGATATCTCTTAAAGACAAAAGACAAACAGCGATTAAATATTATTAGAAATCGTGTTATTCAATGCATAAGTAGAAGCAACAGTTAAAAAGGACGTTTTTGCGTTTGTTAGGGAAATTATGTTTTTATTCCTTGCTTTCGAGACATTTTCACTAAAGCTTAAAAAATAAATTTTTTCGTAATGTTCCTTTTTATCTGCAAATAATAATGGTAGAAACTTAAATTTTTTTTAATAAAAGTATGTTTTCTTACTATGTGCGAAAATTTTAATTAAATGTGCAAATTGTACAAAGGTTGTTTTTTTTCTAAGTTATTTATTCATTTTTGAATTTCAGAAGTGTTACGTTCAAAATGTATTTCACCATTCTGAAGAGTTTTTCTTTAAAATGGCGTCATGCACTTAGAGTTGAGTTGAGATGGCACTTGGAATTAAAAAATGGTATTAGTTTGAAGGTAAAAATTAAATTTTTTCACTCTTAAAATAAAACTCAGAATGTTGCATTACGCGAAATCTACATTTTCTTAACGGTATCATTTATCATTTTTTTTTTAAAGTTTTCCATTGAAGTAGTGGTACACAATAAACTGTTGACTTATGTCAAAATCTTTCCTTTGGGTGAAAGTATGATTGAAATTTGAATGTTGCGAGCGGGACGTGCAATAAGAGGGAAAATATTTTTAAAAATTTTAAATTTTATAATTTTTTATGAGATTTTTACAATTGGGCAATATATTTTGGAATTGAGTGGTGGAGTAAAATGATTGTCAAAAGCTGATCCTGATCAATCGAATTGTCAAAAGCTGAAGAAGTATTTCAATAATTATTTATTTATTTTTACCTAAATTATTGAAATTATTAATGAATATTTAAAGTTTTAAGAAGCTTCCCATGTGCAGTAATGTCAATCTTTTCGAAATGGGCGAAAATCTTTCTTTCGCAACGTCTTATAAAACTAAAGAAAGTTTTTGAAAGATTGCATAATTTTAAGTAATGCTAATTAAAATTTAAACAAAATTGGTCAAATAATCCACATTTGTTATTTTATGCGATGCTCAAATCAGTTTTAAAAAGTAAATTTGCTTATTTCATGTTATGAGGTATCTAATTCCAAAGTCATCATTTTTATAAATACTATTCTAAAATCGTTGCTTAGACAAAAATATTCTGAGATGGATGGTACAAAATAATTAATATAAAAAGAAATAATAAAGTATTCCAAAATGATGTTTTAATTTGTTCGAGAAAATTTATTTTATTAATATTTTGCTTTCAAATATTGTTGTTAATAAAATATTCAAATTTTATTTTCTTAACAGTAATTTTATGCCAAAAATTTATAAATTGTATACAATATATAAGTTGTATACAATATAGGAGATAGATGATTACTAAATTAAGGAAATATAAAAAAGAACTAATGAAAAAATATTCCATGTTAATGTCATTTTGAAAGTCGTTTACAATTTTCTTGCCTTCAAATATTGTTTTTAAAAAATTATTTTACTTTCTTTGTAACAAATTTTATAGTATAAATAAATAAGTTGTGTAAAATATAGAAAGGAAGTTACTAAAAATAATATGTAAAACTAGATAAATAGTTTAAATTATTTAAAGATAGTTCAATAAAATTCTTATTGAAAATAGTTTTGTAAAGTACTACTAAGCTGTTAAAAGAATAAGTGAAAAACGGGAAATTTCTCAATTTTTCAAGCAATTTATTCTCATTATTTCTATTTTCAACAGAGATTTTCCATTACAGTTTTTCCCGAACAAAACATGTGAATTTATCCATATGTTAGCCTTTTTTTTTAAGAAGAAAAATTAAATCTGTCAAAATGTTTTAAATTGACGGTAATACAATGTATTATTTACAACCTTCTACATATTTGGTGTCTTTATAAATTGAATCTGTTGGTGACGACTTCCAGCAATATATATCTATTCGGCAGTCACACTTTCATAAAATGAACTAATTTGGAGAATTATTGAATAAACTCAAAAGTTGAAGCATTTATTGCCGTTCAGATGCCTCCAAATTACAAGTGTCTCTACACATATCTACAGGGCAATTAATTTTCATAATTCTGAAACGAGTTATTTGACTAATTTCTATTGAAATAAATTAAAAAATAATTTTCGAACTTACCTGACGATACGAGTACAACAGCTGGCAACATATGAATTAGGAGAGTCCATAATTTTGCCGGTAACATTTGCAGTGGAGTCAAAACTGAATCATTGAAATTCAAGAGCGCGGATTGTTTTTGAACTCGCGTGAAGCAGATGATTGCAAGTCAAAAAAACACTTTCCCTCTTATGATGAAAGTAGGTTTATCGGGTATGGATTTCTTCTTTCCCTCTGTTGTCGTATAGGTCAGAGCAGGTTTTGACTTCAGAGGAAAGTTGTGCAATGCCAGTTGATCATTTTCTAGTTTTAGATCTATTGAGCGGCGTTGTTAAATAAAAATGTTAAAATTCCTCCAATTATCATAATTATCTTGTTTCTGAAGAACTAAAAATTATTATGAGTGTAGTGATTCAAGAACAACTACTATTAGATAATTATTGCGATATTTTTCTTTTTTTAAAGTTGAATTAAAATAAGTTCAGAGATATTTGGTTTGACAAGCTTGAAACTTCAAATATGGCTAAATTTTCAGAGATTAAAACCTATGAGACTTGACAATTGAAGATTTTAACATATTGGAGACGTAACTCAAGATTTAAACATATTTGAGGTTTAAAATAGAGTGCTAAGGTTAGCGTTGTTCTTGAAAAAATAAAATAATTTAAATTTATGACTAAATGATTACAATCTTTACGGGATTCTAGACATTAATTCTAAACAAAAAAACTAAATTAGATTTGTTATATTAGGGATCGCTAATTTATGTATATTTAGGCAAGGAAAAACCAAAAACGCTCAAATTCTATCGATTCACTACTGTTAAGAAAGCATTATGAAAAACTAGAAAACCAGTTTTGTTGCCGGATTATGCTCTGTGTTTCTAACATTCGCCCTTCACATCCTCTCTGTTTTCTCCGGTAATTAAATATATTTTTGAGTTTTTCCTCTTGCTTTCCTCATTATAATATTTTGTTAAACTTAAAAAGCGGTTTGGTTTTTTCCTCGTTCAAATATGAATTTATGACTCCTAATGAGCTTGCTTATTCGATTTTTTGTTTTTCAACAAGGATTCTAAAAACATATATAAAGAGCGGCGTTTATGGTACACTCTGAATAACTTTTTCAAACTTCTTTCAGTATATTTTTAAAACAAAAATAATTTTTAGACAAATCTGTTTCAGTAAAAAGTTTTTGAAATATCATGAGAAAAGTGCAATGACGGAAATAGTAGTCACAATTCGTGATTTCGCGACTACTTTTTAGTTTCGTAAATCATGATCCTGTGAAATAAAAAATAGATATTCTTTACTATAAATATAACCTTTATAAAAAGAAAACTTTATAATTTTTTAGAAATATTTTATACAAAAAAATTTAAGTAGAATATTCTTCTTTTTTTTTTAGTAGCCCATACGAATCCTCGTCACGTTAACTTCATTTGTTTAGATACTCTGCTTCATTCTTGTAATTCGGATCAATTAAAAATATATATAGTAGTGGCTTTCTAGGAGGTGGAAACGAATTTCACACAATGGATCACACAATAAACGACACGGAGCTTTTGGGGCCCGCTGTAAAAATCTTAAACTTTTTAGAAGTTTGTGGTTTAACGGTTAACAATTGTTGATCGCTTAACGGCTTAATAATAATTTTTTTTATCAATATTTTAAATGTTTCTTTCAGAAAACTAAACTACATTAAAAAAGTTAAAATCTTAAAGAATAATAACATACAATTCACGATTTTTACAAATTTTGGGAACATTCCTACTGAATGTGATTTTATCGTTCTACTTAGAATGCATACATTAAATTCTCAATTTTTAAATATATATTTTACGAGTTTTTATTTTAATGAAAGTGTGACAAAAAAAGTATTGGTGCAACGTTGGAAAATATCTTGTATTAAAATGAAAAGTTTATTTTCAAATAATTTGAATTTTACGCAAAATCGTTTATCTATACGCGGCTGTTTGTCTGTCTGTAATCACAATATATCGCCCCAGAAGCCTCGCCCAGGCACGAAACTCGGCACATAATTGTGTTTTGACTTAATGAAGAAGTATTTTTTTTCTTTTTCAAAAATTTGGATTAGTTTTTTAGTTATCAGTCATTTTGTAAGAAAATCTATGCTTTTTCGTCTTCAAAGAGCCATATTCAAAAAACTATTAAAAAATGCATATCTCTTATAAATGTATGCTAATGCGAACCTTACAAATGAAACATTAATTTTCGACAACTTAAACCAATAATATACGAAGGAATTAATAATTTAATTGTAAGGTTCGCATTAGTTTACATTTATCAAAGTGGAGAAAAGTTTAACTTTTGTATTAAAAATGTGGCAACATATTCGATACGTAAATAGAACGCTTCGCTTTGATATATTTGTCGCTGCTCGTAATTGTTATAATAAGTTTTTCTTCTTCTTTCTACGCTCTATTTTTTTTTCTTAAGCGAAGACGATAATTTTTGTAGCGATATAGAAATAGATACCATAAAAAATTATATAGGAATAGAAATTGATAGCGTGGGGGACAGCTGGCCGTCTTAGGCGGCTAGTTTGTAATAAAAAGAGATGGAAAGAATATCTCCATTCCCTCCTCTCAAGATAAAAGCGGATTAAACTTTTCAGTTTTCGAACATCATCGTCAAAACAAGGAGCGGTATCCAACAACTCTGAGTCGGAAAACTGACTCATTATGTTTCAAAATTTATCACCTTTTGTAAAGCTTTAAAAACTTCTTATTCTCCAAATCTGAAGATACTAACGGGGAAAAGTAAAAAAAATGAGATTTTAAAATGACAGCAGGTTTTGTTCTATTCTAAATTATGCCAATCAAAAACGAGAACAAGGACTAACTTTCTAAAACACTTGTTACCCCCGTTCGTTTTAGTCAATAGAAAGCAATTTACGCAAATTACTCTTCATTGCGACAAATATTTTACTAAACTTACAGAATTTTTTTTTTTAATTTTACAACTCAAAAATCTTGTTTATTTTTATAGTAAGGAGCTTTCCATGAACTATTGAAGAGGTTTTATTTATGAATTTGGAATTTGCGTCAGAAATCGAAGACAAATATGATGAAATGTTACAAGGGCGCGAAAGAACAATGAATAGAACAATTCACAATGAAATATCACCTTCCCTTGATAATTTATTTACTTAATGAACATCGATATTCGAATTCGATTATTTGACGTTAGTAAGGATATTATTAGATTTTAATGACTTGTATAAGATCGTCAAGCTCCAGAAATTTGTGCTTAATTGGGTACTTGCACTTCAAGAACAAGACCTCCCATACCCACGCACGTGACCTATGACGTCAGCGCCAGCTATTCTGTATCAGCAAAGCGGCGTATTAAAGTTGAGATAAGGTTCCCTACATAAGTTAGAACGTTAATTAACGATAAGTTAATTAAATAGAGATCCGTATCGCTCATCGAATTAGTTGAAATATAATACTTTCTCGTCTGCTTCTTTTACTTAACTTAGATTTATTATTTGCTTATGAATTTTATTGTAACCGTGATATATTTCTGTTTTATGGGCCTGGCAACTTCGATGCCTAATTAGTTTGTGTTCCACGTGGCTTCGTGCCCATCTTTGTGTTAAGTGTCTGTGTAATTATCTAATGAAAGAATTGAAATCTTTGAGATAGAAATTAGAATGAGTCACTTTAAAGAATTGATACTCGACGGGCTTGGCTTACTCGAAATAAAATGGAAAGAATAGCTGCTAACGTAAACATATTGCACGTTTCAGCAACCAATCAGGATCGATTTTCCCACACTACGTCACTTGCAGGTATGAAAAACATAAATATCATGTATAATATTATATAATTACTTTTCTGAAAATTAAAAATGCTGATCGCAAAACCAATGTCATTTTATGAGAAAAAACGGAAAAAAGAATAAAACAACTCCTGCTATATCTCTTAGTATGATAAAAAGTGATTTTTCAAAATTTACTTCCGATTAGAGTAAATGGTGAACATTAGCTTCTAACGAAAATTACATAAAGATGTTGAACTCTTTGAGGCACACAGAAATTTTAATCGATATTGTAGACCAGAAGAGACATAAGAAGTGTTGTTCTTGTAAACAAGTCCAGATTTAACAATTCTCTTTATGTTTTGATTTCACAAAATTAAAGGTGGAGGATAAAAAACATTGTTATTTATAAGGTTAACCTTATAAATAACAATATATTTGAACTTATACATTTTTTGGTTGTTATATATTCCTCAAAAATAAGTAGTTCCACTGTGAAGCAAGTATATCTAACATTTCTTCTCTGTTCATTTTTTTTATATCGTTGTCTGAGGGGTGCTATGGAGGGAGTACGCGGGGGATTTGTATAACCCACTGGTTTTTCAATAAAACCCCATTTTTTTACAATTTTGCAAATTTCAAAAATTTTGAAATTTGCTTACTCGTGCATTTTGTTTTTTTGCATTGTTAATATCGATCTATCTATCTATATATATTTACTTCCACTTCGAATTTTAAGATTAAGGTATATAGTTTTCGTCTGACTTGCTAATGATGGTTTCTTTTGTTTTTCTTGGGCCAGTCGGGGTATGATTGTTTGTGGTAATTTACTGGCTGCATGGTAATGCCCCCTGATGAAGCTGCCATTTATATTAATGCATCCACTTTAAATTTTTTTAAATATATTTCCTGTAGTGCTTTTCACAAGGTGGTATCCTGTATGTTATTTTGTCTTAATAGTTTTAAGTTTACTCCCGCTATTTTGATCCTTTTAGTTCTCTTATGAGGTAATAACTTATTTTATCTTTTAAAATATTTTTCTTCAAATTATATATATATATAACAGGGGTGGACAACCTGCGGCTCGCGAGTTACATGCGGCTCTTCGAAGGATTATTTGTGGCTCTCGATAAATGTACCCGAGTTCCCTTTTCATTTTTGTTCTTTTATATTTTTAAAAAATTGTTATCGTTCCTTGACGAATCGACAGATATCACAGACATTCGCACCAATGCAAAAGATCATCGACAATTCAAAAATTTCCTTAAAGAATTAAAGGACGAAGAACTTCCAAATGACATTAATTTCTTTTGCATTGTTAGATAATTATCTAGCTACAACGTATAAATTGTTTTGTAGATTTGTTTGATCCGATATAACAGCATTTCTAAAATAAAAGAAAATAACCTTTTCAGAATTAGACGATGATGAGTGGTTACAAGACTTAATGCTTTTAACTGATGTTATGGAACATTTGCAAACACTGAATCTACAATTGCAGGGGAAAGATAAA